CAACACCTGGGCAATCCCAGTCATTAGGTACACAGCTGGAATAGTGGACTGGACTCAAGCAGAACTAAAAGCAATGGATAGGAAGACCAGAAAAATAATGACAATGAATCATGCCCTTCATCCACGCAGCGACATTGATAGACTTTATCTACCAAGGCAAATAGGTGGGCGTGGAATGCTACAAGTACATCAGATGGTTGAAGAAGAAAAAAATGGCTTTGGAAGAATATCTGAAGAACAATGATGAAGATTCACTGAAATTAGTATATCAGGAAGGCTTACTGACTACTGGAGAGACCAAACTGGCCTACAAGAAAAACCAAATGAAGAACAGAATAGAGGCATGGGAAGACAAAGCACTACATGGCCAATACATTAAAAAAATAGCTGGGAAAGCAGATAATAACAAGACCTGGCAATGTTTAAGAGCAAGAAAATTGAAGAAAGAGACCGAGGGATAATTCTGGCTACACAAGACCAAGCCTTAAGGACAAATGCATATAAAGTCAAAATTGAGAAGACAGCAACAGACAGTAAGTGCCACCTATGCAAAGAAGCTTAAGAAACAATGGACCACCTGGTAAGCTGTTGCAAGAAGATTGCACAGACTGACTACAAGCAGCGGCATGACAAAGTAGCAACAATGGTGCATTGAAAGATCTGCAAAAAATATCATTTGCCTGTAAGTAAAAACTGGTGGGATCATAAAATAGAGAAAGTCATAGAAAATGATAAAATTAAACTGCTCTGGGACTTCAGAATTCGAACAGACAAGCACCTGCAACATAACACCCCAGACTTAACAATTGTCGATAAGAAAGACAAAAAAGTCTGGATAGTGGACTTGGCAATGCCTGGAGACAGCAGAATAGATGAGAAAGAACTGAGAAGATAACAAAATACAAAGACCTACAAATAGAAATAGAATGACTGTGGCAAAAGCAAGCAAGGGTAGTACCAATAGTAATAGGCTCCTTGGGTGCAATCCCAAAACAAATGGAGCACCACTTGAACACCATTGGCATTGACAAATTTGTTATTAGTCAATGGCAAAAGGCGGCCTTACTAGGAACTGCTTCCATCCTGTGACGATACCTGTAATACCATCAAACATCCACATCTGCCTATCCCAGGTCCTGGGTAAGGATTCGATAGGTAGACAAAATGCCAAATCCAGTCTGAACATCTGGCTGACTGTGTGATGATTCATAATAATAATAATATCATAAAGATCCTGGAGTCAGCAGAATAGAAAAGAAAGAACTGGAAGAAATCACAAAATACAAAGATCTGCAAATAGAAATAGAATGACTGTGGCAAAAGAAAGCAAAGATAGTACCAATAGTAATAGGTGCCTTAGGTGCAATACCAAAACAAGTGGAGTACCACTTAAACACCCTCGGCATTGACAAAATCACCATCAGTCAATTGCAAAAGGCAGCTTTACTTGAAACAGCTTACTTCCTCTGACAATTCCTTTGACATCATCAAATAATAACATCTGCGTGTCCCAGGTCCTTGGAAAGAATTCGACAGATGAATGAAAAGCCAAATCCAGTCTAAACATCTGGCTGACTGAGTGACATACCACAATAATAAGCATTTAGATCTTCAGCAGCATTGTAATAGAAAGGCATATTACTTATAACGTTCACCAACATACAGACATGTTTTAATTGTAATATGTTTTAGCAGCAACATTCAGTATGAGATAGAAAGTCAGTTTACAGAGATTAAATCCATTGACTGATAAATATGAAAATGTTCTGTTAGAAGATGGCATGTTAATTTTTCAATTAACTTTTTTTAATTCTACAGTATATAGCAAATACTGTATAAATCACTGTAAACATTTTTAATATATTTTTCCTCTGTTTATACAGAAGTGCAAATGGCAGGGAGAAACAGAGGAAATTTAAACTCAGTTACAGAAAATTCTTCCTATTGATTAGAAACAATAATTTATTATTGTTAATTTGTTCTGGGATTGCAAGCAATACATCCCAAAAGATGGCAAAATGATTTTCAGAATATCTCATGAATTTATACTTAGACATCTTAGATGTATATCTCTAGCATTACTTGCAGAAAATTTGAGTACTTGTCTTGTTTTGAATTCAGAGAGTATCTGTGAGCAAAAAGCATATGGCTTGCTATGTTTTGTTGCTGTTTACTTTACAAAGCAGAGAATCAGCTTTTGCTTATAAATACCAGAAAATTATTATGTAGAGCCAGTGTGAAAAATTTGGCTGAGACTGAAAGATCCATGTTCAGATTTTCTCTGCAAACGATCCTGACATATTCTCTTATTCAATGGAAAGAATTTTATATTCTTTATTATATTCTTTATTATATTTTATAATATTCAAATATAGCTTGGACAAAGCTTGTTGTGTTACTTGGACATACTGTAGTACTTACTTAGAACTTTGCATCATCACTTTTAGTAGCACAAGTTAAAATAGCAAAAATTTGGAAAATGATTTTTTTATATTTGTCGATACAGTTCAAGCTGAAACAGTAATTCATTCTAAGATTCATATGTCAGTGTAGTACCATTTATATTAAATATAAGATTTCTTATATTTATATTATTTTAAATATTTATAATAGATTTTTAACAGCTAATCCAGATTGTCATCATCTATTTCTTTTTTTTTTCTTTAGATGTTGCTTAAAATACTGCTACAGGAGTAGCTGGTTGGCCACTGATAAATACTAAAGCAGTAGTTTCCAAACTTGGTAACTTTAAAATGTGTGGACTCCAATTTCCAAAATTTACCAGCTAGCAATTTTTTCCCTATAAAACTGAAAAAAATGGCAGAGACCAAAACAACATTTAATCTAGGAATGGGAAATAGTAATTACAATTGAACATGCTAAATTGAGTAATTTTGAATAATGATGTATCCAGTGGCTTTGAATATGCTTTAGTAAGTCTACATATTATTTTTGATAGTTCCCTCTTGTAATGGTAGTTTGCAATACTTTTAAACAAAATTCATAAAAATGTACAGACTGTGGGGAAGCCAGTCATAAAACAGGTGGAATTCAACACTGTGGTAGAAAATTAAGGATAGTAAGTCCAGTGGGGTATGGCATACTTATAAAGATATCTCCTTCTCTATTAAAGGGGGTTAATGGGAAATAGGATAAAGAAAGATGAAGTGAGAAAGTAAATCTAGCCTGGAAAACTAATAAGCCTTGAAAATCCCCTCTGTTCAGAGCCATTATCATTAGCAATGATGTTAGACTTGTTAATTGAATAAATAAGTGCTTAGTTTGCTATTCCTATGTTAGGTCTTTACCCATTACAACGGATTACACAAATGAAAAAATATTTGAAATTACACACACACACACACACACACACACACACACACACTTTCAATTGCTGATTAAATTCTGAAAACTGTACTGACAAGCTTTTATATTTGGGGTCATAAATTTCTTTTCATAAGATGTTGCCTGTCTTTTAATTATCCAGCTTAATTTTAGACAATAGTGGCTGAGAAAAATATATTCAGAAGCGCAAGCAACAATTGACCTATCTTTCCCTTTCATGACAGCTGTAGCAACACTAAAAGAGAAAGAGAGAAAACTTTGAAAGTGTTCTACCTATTTATTCCTTAACACATATAGCAGTTTCATCTTTTACTGATATAAAACATAAACCCCCCCACTTTATTCTACTTTTTATAATGTGTAAAGGACCAGTGATACCTCACTCAAACTGATTCAATTTAAGAAGAAAAAATGAGATTTCAATCAATATGCAGAAAAGGATATTAAAGAAACAGCTGATGATGAATTCCCTATCCTCTCCATTTAGATTAATTGATCTGAGAAAATAGAAAAAGAGATTTTGCATATATTAGTTCTCTTATTAAAATTATTTCAGAATATCTGTGCAAAAGTCAAAACTTCATTTCTTTCATGTTTTTAAAATTAATTGAAATAAAGAAATAAAACATTTTAGGTTCTCCTGCCCTAATACTGATGCTTAAAATAGACACATTCTACATTGCAATCCTTCTCTTTCTCCATTTCTGAACTCAAGTACTGTTCATGCCACCCTTGAGTCAGGACAAAAATATCCTGGCATAAAATTTGCTGTTCCCATCACCAAACCCTATTCTATATTGATTGCCTCAATTCCCAATCACTGACATGATTTCCTTCCACGATAATGAGTAAATGAACCAAACAGATTTACTTAACTTGAGAACGCCCTTGAATAAGAATCAAAGTAGAAAAATAAATATTGCCAGGCCATGCTCTAAGCCTCCAAGTTGGAAAAATATCCTTAAAGTAATTCCAGAATTAAGAACTAACAGAAGGAGAGCAGGGTCCCCGAAGATAATATCAAGAGTTAGCATTAGCAAATAGAATAAAGACCCCACTCTTATGATATTTATTTCCTTATTATTTTAATAATAATAATATTTGAAAAATGTATGTAAATCTGTGTATCTTTTGCTGATGTATATCTTCAGTTAGACAAAGCATAAACTGCCAATCTATCAAAGCTCTTTATTCATATATCCGGTTCCCCTACAGGCTAGCACTGGCACCCTACTTGCTTCTGTTGGCAAAAAAATAAAAATAAATAAAGATGGGAAAAATAACTGGGAAAAGTCAATATCACTTTTCTGTGTTATTTTCCTCTCCTTCAGCTCAGAAAGCAGCAGGCAGAGCTGGGCAGAGTGGGTGACTATTTAGTGTGATTAGATTGCATGAAAAAAAAATGCTTCACTTCTAATGTAAAGTGCATCAAAAAGACATATTCTTCCTGCTATTAATAGAACCATTTCATGACTTTGTTGCTTCTGTGTGGGGTTTTTTTTCCTTCCGCATTACCTGGTAGCATTGGGCATAGATGGTTTCTCTATGGTCCTTTATTTCACCTATGGGGAGAAATTAATTCCTATGGGAAAGAAAACAAATGCACAAGTAACAGCTAGGTGAAACTTTGTTTTGCCTCCCTATCTTTAAAACAGACAATAGCCATGGGGAGATGACTCAACCGACCCTGACAATCCAGACCCATCCCTATCGAAGCTGTGACCCAGTGGAAATGTCCTATCCCAGGGGACAGTTCCAGCCAGCAATCCGAGTGGCCGACTTGTTGCAGCACATCACTCAGATGAAACGGGGACAGGGCTATGGATTTAAAGAGGAGTATGAGGTGAGATGAATATTCACTCACTTGAATGATATAAAAGATTGAGATTAAAGCTACTGAAAAATGAGAATAAGTCCTGATTTCGTGAAGAAGTATCTTAATAATTAAGAGACTTATTTTTATGTGTTAATGATCATGGTTTCTCCTCTCTTTCTTCCTGAGTCCTTGCTGCAGTCTTTTTTTATGTTGCAGAGCTCCTATTATTCCTACATTCATACATTGGCAAAATCAAAAATGGGAGTTTATGAAAAACTGACGTTGGTCTGTTTCAAAGAGTATAACTAGTTCAGATGCAGCAGCTATGACCACTATGTTACAGCTATTAAATTTGTGCTAAAAAAAGCTGCCTGTCTGCTGCTGGGCCTCCTTGAAGATGTCAGTGGTAGTATACAAAGCCTTCAACCACTCAGGACTGAGTTAACATAAAGAATGTCCCCTGTTATAGTTATACTAGTCTCCAGTCTATGGAGATTCTCAGTTATTCAGGTCATGGTTGTTCCAAAGGTGCTTTTTCAAAAGGCAGCTGGACTTTGTTTTTCCTTGAAAACATTTTGCTTCTCATCCAAAAAGCTTCTTCAGTTCTGATTGCATGGTGGAAAATGGAAAATTTATATTCCTTGCAGTCATATGGTCATTATCCCTCTTTATGAGAGTCATTGAGGCCACTTGGCAGTTTATTTGTGCTCTCCAGGTTATCTGAATACTGCAAATTAGTGTGAAGCCTTCTTGGAACTGCTGAAAGGACTGTATTGTCCTTTCCTTGAAAAAATATCTTTAAGGAAAAACAAAGTTTAACTGCCTTTTGAAAAAGTACCTTTGAGATACTACTCTCCAGTATTCTTGTTTTTCTGTTGTTCATGTATGGCTTGTGGAAATGTCATTAAATAAGAACAGAAGGTGGAATTCTTTGCAGTGGCACTTATCCTGTAGAGTAACCTCCCTTCTGCAATGTATCAGGACTCAGCACCAACAAGTTTAGATCACTTTATGTTGGTCATCATCAATCCTGGCTCCCCTTATATTTATTTGTGATGGTTTAATTTTACCTTGCAAAAAATGTCTTTATATGTTTTACTAATGTAAACTAAGCAGACAAAAAATCCTTACCTACAGCAGACTGCACTGAATGTTCCCTTTTCATTGGGATATATAATGTATAAAAATATTACAATAGTTTAAGAGCTACTTTAAAGATAAGACTCATTAAATGAAAGTAAAAAAGAAAAAAGAAACAGCTTTGACTGCCTTCTGAGTGTCTATAACAGCTAGTAAGCTCTTCTGACTGCAATGTGTCACCTCTGAAGACTCAAGCCTGACGCTCTTCTGTTATTTTGGCATGAGACTCTTTTGTGAAAGAACCTTAAACTATTGGAATAATTTTGTTCATTTAAAAATATATATTTCAAATTGCAATGGATTGCACAGATGGAAAGTGGAATAACATTTCTAGATTTGAGTGTCAAGCCAAGCAATTTATTCAAGGAGGCCTGGTAGGCCAGAGATTTTGTAATTATGAAGTTAAAAGAGTGGCATTCTGTTCTGAAGATTATTTTCATCTTTCCTAGCTCAATCCAGTAGTTAGTGAAATTTGTTGGTAGTATAATTAAGAAGCAATTACCTGTACTGATGATCTTCTGTTTAAATCAGGCACTATTGTTGGGCATCTGCTGCACTTGAACATCCAAGTGGTATCAAGTTGTTGTACATTCCTGGCCAAATATTTAATTAGTAGTGATAGACATTTTAATTTTACACAAAGCCTCCAATCAAATATTTGTCTGGATATTACCATACATTTGTGAGAAAAGCAAATGTTTGCTCATTATTGCTACAACTAATAGGACCCACTTCAGTAAAGATTCATCATACATCACTTCACTGAAACTTGAAACTGACCTTGGCTACTTGTTACATTCCTTTCCTTTCCTAATTCTCAGTTGATGAGATTTCATCCTGATGAATCTAAGGTATGAGGAGACTGGGAGGTTAGGTATTATCACTTTCAGTGCTATTAGAGCAAAGTAATGATTCACTTATAATTGATACCTGGAATATAACCATCATCATACAGTGTTGGGCATCTTGAAGGCATTTCATGCTTTCAAGATATCAGTGAAAATTTAATTCTTTCTTCATCAATAGTGTTGCATCTTTTGAATGTTGTCCCAAAAGAGTGCAAAGTCAAAGAGGTAATGCAACAAATGGTATTAAAACAAAAGGATATCCAGCCCTTTCTACCTTGCATTAAATTCATTCCTACTGCTGGCTCCTTATCTCCTGACTTGGGTTAGTTCCATAATTTGGTGTGCCCTGACAAGGATTAGGAAATGCCTCATAATAGAAGACACTGCTTATCTTTTTCCCTCAACAAACTGAAAAATTAAAGAATAGCAATGGATTAAAATGGAATGTATGGTGATTTGGAGGGAGCGTTGCTTAAGGAAGCATTATGTGATGGAAGAAGTTGGGAAGAATAGCCTCAAGGTGGACAGAAGTCAGTGTCTGAATCTTTAAGAAGAAATTTGTCTGAAATGGTACAGGGTCACCTGCTTGAGCAGGAGGTTATACTAGAAGACCCCACGGTACCTTCAAAATCTGTTATTCTGTTATCTTGAAATATCACATATTCTTGCCCATTTATCATTTTGGTCATTGTTCTATGACTGCTAGAGCATTTCTAGGTGTCAGGTTTTCTCTTCTAAGATAGGACCTGAGTTCACATTCCTTGTGAGTATAGTGAATACAGTTGTTGAATGAGTACTTGACATTTTGTTCTCTGTGTTTGTGTGTGGGAGCACAGCTTTCAGTGGGAACACAGCATTGCAGGAGCAGACTGCCTCTGTGTGACATATTTGAATATGGTTTGAGAAAAGTATACAGTATATTATGCATACTTGCAAATAGGCCCATCCATGGATAAAATTCAGGATTCAAATTTTAACTAAAATAGCATGAAAAATGCACTATCATGGATAAACCAACCTGCATTTTTCGAGGTATTCTGGTTAAAAATTCAAGGGTCTTCTTATTTGCAGATGGGCTTATCCATGAGTATATATAGAATATATGGTTACTTTTAAAAAACTGAGCTTACCCACAAGTGTTTATGATATATATAAAAAAGAATTTAGCCTTTGTAATTAATAAATATGGCCTCCTCCAAAGATTATGGCCCTTTATGACATGTGTTAAGCAGCTTTGTAAAGCATAGATAAGATGCCTTATGGAGTGTTAATGGGCTGTGAAGAGCTGAATTACTCTTACTCTGATAACCTCAGATAAAGTTGCTGAAATGCTTAATGTAAGTAAGAGCCAGGTTTACAGTAATTTTCAATTTCTGGCAGCTGTATGGCATTTAAAATTATATCTGCACTAATCTTAGCACTTTGATACTTTACCTGCAAGGTTGTATTTTGTTTCATGTTACTTTAAAGGCTGCAAAACTAAACACATATCAATGAAAACATTACTCCATATTCAGTTTCTTTGACATATTAATAAGTTTGCCACCAAGGACATTTCAATATCCTTTCTTTCTTTTGCTTTTGAAAGCTAGGAAATTTATGGTGGCTATTTTATTACATCCTAATACGGATTATGCTTAATTATATTCCTCTTTGCAGGATAAAATTTTTGAAAGACAAGCAAGCAACAACAATAAAAACACATTAAACAAATTTTTTAAGGCTTTTTCTTGGTAGTCTTTGCTGACTTGCAACTGTTTTTTTGTGGCAAAAATAAAATTAGGATTTTCTGACTTTTTGCTTTGTTTTTGTTTTAGGAGGAGTGGAAGAGAAATTTGTTTGTTATACAAACTTATACACGTGGTCCTCAACTTAGAACAGTTTGTTTAGTAAAACTTGGCAACTGATTCATATTTATGATGGTTAGAGTCACCTTTTGCAACCTTCTGAAAAGCAAATTTAATGGAGAAACCAGATTCATATAACAACTATGTTACTAACTTAACAATTGCAGTGATTCACTTAACTGTGGCAAGAAAAGTCATAAAATGGGACAAAACTCACTTAATATCTGTTTCACTTGTTGTTAGTTGCTAAGTTGTGTCTGACCCATCGCAACCTCATGGACAGCATTCCTCCAGGCTTTCCTGTCCTCTACCATCTTCTGGAATCCATTTAAGTTCACACCTACTGCTTCAGTGACTCCATCCAGCCACCTCATTTTCTGTCGTCCCCTGCTTCTATTGCCCTCAATTTTTCCCAGCATTAGGCCCTTCTCCAGTGAGTCCTTCCTTCTCATTAGGTGGCCAAAGTATTTGAGTTTCAACTTCAGGATCTGGCCTTCTAAAGAGCAGTCAGGGTTGATCTCCTCTAGGACTGACCGGTTTGATCACCTTGCAGTCCAGGGAACTCGCAGGAGTCTTCTCCGGCACCATAGTTCAAAGGCCTCATTTCTTTTGCACTCAGCCTTTCTTATGATCCAACTTTCACAGCCATACATTGCAATTGGGAAAATCATGGCCTTATCTATATGTACTTTTGTTGGCAGGGTGATGTCTCTGCTTTTTAGTATGCTGTCTAGATTTGCCACAGCTTTCCTCCCAAGGAGCAAGCGTCTTTTAATTTCTTGGCTGCAGTCCCCATCTGTGGTGATCTGTTTTACTTAGCAACAGAAATTTTGGGCTCAATTGTCATAAGCCATGGACTACCTGGCTATACTTTGGAAATTGGTGGGTCTCATCTTTTTTTATATAAAAAAATAGTCAAAAATTAGACTAAACCAATTAAATACATCTATTGATTTATTTTCCATAAATGACAAAAAAGAAAAAAAAAAGTCAGAATTTTTTTCTGGTGATGATCAGAGGTGCTCAAGGACTGTAAAAGAACTTTTAAGAGTCTCCTGGTCTGGGACCACGTGGCTGCTTAAAGAGAGACATAATCCAGATGGAACAGGCTCTAGGTTCTCTTTTCTTGCTTTCCTTTCTCTTCCTTAGGTGAACTGTTGCAAAAATACAATTTTCATCTTTCACCTATCTGGTCCATTAAATTACATCACCTCTATAGCTGTAATCCTCAATACTCTTCCAATGTGATTAGTGAGGTTTAGGTTGAGAATACCCTTGAAGACAATGAAATGTTCAAGTCAAGAGGTGGTAGACTCGGTAATTCAGCAACACTTCAAATAAGATTTAAAGTAAAAAGCCATCTGTCGAAAGAATACTGACTCTGCTAATATTCTACTTACATAAAAAGGTGCTTTATTGTAGAGTTGTAGAGATGAATTTTCAAAGCTTTTGGCACTTCCAACTCTGTGATTATTTGAACACTTGTACACTTAGGGGTAAAGAGAATATAGTCAAGCACATAAATAACTACCACAATTTTAAACAGCCATGTGGGAATATCTACAGCGTAGAATGCTAAAATTTCCAAGTGGCAATTTTCTGGAGATGATTTGGAGAAGACTGAAACAAACAAGATTTGAATAATTATAGTTTTGCCTTTTCTTTTTTCCCTGATTGCATTTTCCAGCTGTTTTTAGGCTGCTGGTTCATTGATTCCCCCCCCCCTCTTTTTTTGAACCTAGTAAAAACAGTCTTACCATTCTGGACTTTAATCTTTGGCTCTGCATTTTTATCTTTTAAATACCAATATCAATTTATTACTCTTGGACCATTTCCCTAACCTATGAAGTTTGTTTTTTATATCATTGCCTTATATAGTAATTTAATATTGAAGAATCAGAAACTAGGAGTAAGTCTTCTGACATTTTTCTTCATGCTTGCATTCTATATATATATATATATTACTTAAATTATTTATATGGTTACCCATCTCATAACAGTGACTCAGTTTGATGAGGAAACACTAACATCAATTTTCAAGCTATTTACATATCTACATAATTGTCATCTCATGTAAGCCACAATTAACTTACTAATGAGAATGTCAAATGCCTTGTTTAAATCATTATATACTATGTCTACAATATTGCCCCCAAAGAATGCCTAATGAATGCATTAGCTTCTAAAAAATAAAGTGGCAAGTAGTTTCCTGTATCAAAATTATAAAGTTTGGTTATAAAATCAGAAAGAGTTATCAGCTTTTTCCAGTAGGTACTATGAACAGATTAAATTCATTTCTTCTAAAATGAAAAGGTATTTATTCGAAGCTGTGAATATACTATGATATTATTTTGGAGATTTCAGATTTACCAATCCTGTGTCTTTCAATAATATGACAAATTGGGGTTTTTGTTTTGTTTTTTTTCTTTGTTTGTTGCAGCACATGATGCAACTAAATTACTATCAATTTATTGAAGCAAGATACAAATGTATATCTTGTCTTTGATGAAGAAAAATACCTTATTTCAATTACCTTTTTCCTATATTTTTCCCCACTCAGAACATTAGCTGCTATTAGGTAGCACTTTCTTTGTAAAACAAAATGAGATGTGATCAAAGATCTTTTCTGAAACATTATTTCATAGACATAGTGATTGAGTTAGCTCTCTCTCATTTATTACCCATTTTGCCAAGAAACCATCCATAGTGCACCTGGAATTATTGCTTTCCAGAAATTTTATAAACTACAGTCTGACAAACTTTGTCATTTTTTAACTATACTGTCACATCTTTACTATAATATCTGGTATATTACAATAACCCACAACATCACAACCAAAGAAGCTAGTGTTATTGACTCTGGGTTTCTATGGATTGCATATTAGTTAGCAATAGTGGGTGCTCCATCACTGGAGGTTTTTAAGAAGAGACTGAACAGTCACTTGTCTGAGATGGTATACGGTAGGTTTCCTGCTTGAGCGGGGGGCTGGACTAGAAGACCTCCAAGGTCCCTTTCAACTTCTATTCTATTCTATTCTATTCTATTCTATTCTATTCTATTCTATTCTATTCTATTCTATTCTATTCTATTCTAGTAATTGATGAATTTTGTAATTATGGGTTTCACATAACATTTTTTGGGTACCATTCATGATTATAGGTTACATTTCTTAAGCTATTATCAACTCTAAAGCCATTATGTATTTAGTATTCCAGACTATGCTGAAAATACGCTTTTGGGGGATTTTATCACAGAAAAAAGAACTTGGAGGGAGTGTTGTCACTGGTGTGAAGAGTTTGTTATAGCTTCTTCTCCATTCATTATGTTGCCATTCCCAATGTCAACTCTTGTTCTAAGTTATCTGAGCCTGTTAATGTATGTAAATTATCCCAGATTGCTTTATGAATAACCCCATACCTGACAGAATAGAATACTACAGTACATGAAAGCTTGCAAAAGAGATTTAAGTTGATCCATACATATATTTGGTGTGTGAATGTTTGTTTGCACTCCACATGTATTTGTCTATATGGTTATAATGGGAAAATTGTGTGGAAACTCTTATACTACCAAGTACTTTTATTCTTTAATTTATAGTGCAGCTTCTGGCCTCAGTTTAAATGCCATATATGTATGCTGATATTTCATATGGACATGAGAAAAATAACCCTCATCTCTGTTTTAGAGATGGCATCATAATGACAACAATAACAATACCTTCCCAGACTCCCTTTTATCAGTAAAAACAATATATATGTAGAAGAAAAATCCTTCCAATTGTTTTTGTTCCAGTTACATTAATATAGACACTTATAAGTTACATAAGCCATAGGATACTAATGGTCTCTTCATTATTGTTCACTATTGTTTTCCTGAGAAAGCAGTTGTCTTGGCAGAGTGCTAAATTATATGCTGCCTCTTTCCTGCCCTTTACTTCATTATGTTAAAATAATCCTGAAGGTCTTCCCTATTTTATAAATATTCCACTCTTTAATTTGCAGGCTCTACCTGAAGGGCAGACTGCATCTTGGGACACCGCCAAAGAAGATGAAAACCGCAATAAGAATAGATATGGCAACATCATCTCCTGTAGGTGCAAATTCAAACTGAACTGAACTTCCTGTGTGTATCTGTAAGCATCTTATATGTATAAGAGCATAACTGTAACAAAGAATAACTTCCTAGTCTTTGGAACATTTCAGCTTAATAACAGCTTCTGTGTTAGTGTTCCCTTGTTCCCCCATTTTTTTCATTGATTTATTGTTCTTTGTACAGATATACACTGGTCTCAGTGAAGTCAGGTGACCAAAATCTGCTTTTTGGGGGTGAGGAGTTGGCATTTTCATACATTGAATAGATCTGAGAAAAGAGGTATGGGAACTTCAGTTTCATGACATCAAGCTTTTTCCCAGCTGAGCATATGGCTTTTTGTTGGTCAGGAACCTATTTTCTTCAGAGCGAAATGCAGGCAGAGCTGTTGATGAATTTTGTTATTTGGGGCATAGTGTTATCTCTACGTGTTCTACCCAACATATACAACTTGGGTCAGAAAACTTTTTCTACCTGTTTCAGTAGTGCAGGTTGAGAGAGATTAAAGAGTGATGAACCTCTGATGTGATTCAGATCATAGATAAAAGATAAACAGTGAATCTTTATGTACAAGATTCATTTATAAATGTATAAGGTTTGGTGTCACTTGCAAGTAAGCAAATTCTACAGATTGGCTGCTATCAGAAAGAAGGCCCAATGGGCTCAGTTCACTGGCCCATATCCAGAGAAGGAATCATAAACAGGACTTCCCTATCAATCTCAGTGCATAAAACCGATCTCACTAAAAATTGTTCCTGGAGTTGAAATAAGTAGGGCTACTACTTTTGAGAGACTTCTATACATTTGTTGGCATTGCTTTGGATTGCAGAGTGAAACCAATATTTGTGTTATAATATGACCAGTAGCATGGCAGCTAGATTTTCACAATTGCTTTGTGTTGTTAAGTTGTGACTTGGGACAATTGACTAATTTTAGTTGGCACTTTAGAAAATAAATGAAAGAAAGATCATTCACGTATTTGTTCTAAAACATGAACTCACCTACCCTATGATATCTTTAGAAAGCATTGCCCCATCCACCTGCATTAAAAAAAAAAATCAGAATTCAGACAATAGTAGAACATGTGTAAGACTGAACTGTAAATATTTTATATTCAATAATTTTGTAAGGTATAATGTAAGGTATAATAATATAATGTTAAATAACAGCATAAAACATGTCATAATATAACAACATGCACAATTACTTTAATTCAAAATGAAAAAGCTTTGGAGAGGATTTGGATACTTGCTATACCTATTGATAGGGTAGCAAGGATACTGGAGGCTAAAGCATATAAAACATATAAAGCTGGAATTGGGTATGTCTAGTTTAATGAAAAGAAGGACTATGGGAGACATGATAACAGTGTTCCAATATCTCAGGGGTTACCACAGAAAAGAGGGGATCAAGCTATTCTCCAAAGCACCTGAAGGCAGGATAAAAAGCAACAAATAAAAACTAATCAAGGAGAAGAGAAACCTGGAACTAAGGAAAAAATTCCTGTCATAGTTAATCAGTGGAATAACTTGTCTCCAGAATTTGTAAGCACTCCAACACTAGAAGTTTTTAAGAAGAGATTGGACAACCATTGTCTGAAGTGGCTTCCTGCCCGAGCAGGGGATTGTACCAGAAGACCTCCAAGATTTCCCTAACCCTAACACTTTTAACTCTGTTATTCTATTATTGATACATCCCTAAAAAGCCACACTTTTTTTTTTACTGGAGTTTCATGTAATGTTAGGGTACAATGAGCTTGATATGTATACTTATGGAACTGTGTGGCTTCTAGGTGAATCAAAAAATTGCATTTTCTTTAAGGAACTGCAAATAGATGCCTCAGATCAGGGGTTCCCAACTCCCAGTCCGTGGACTCGCACTGGGCCACAGCATGCCAGAAACTGGTCCACACAAACAAGCAAAGCCCCATCCATAGGATGCATGCCGCATGCGAAACCATGTCTCATCTGGTCCACAGAAAAACCTCTTTCCATGAAACCAGTCCCTTGTGACCAAAAAGTTGGGGGTCATTGCCACAGATAATCACATTTGCAAACACTTTTTCCACTTCAGTTCAAAATGTGATAGCTGCACAAATGAGAATGCTTTAAAAATGATTTAAGGCTCGTGTAATGTGTTTTAGGATACAAATGCAACCTAGCTGTCTGATTTAAACCACAATGCAGCTTCTAGTTCACATAAATTAAATTAAAATAAATTGAATCCAGGATGTATAAGCAAAGTTGTTTAACAGCACAAGGGAGGAATGATAATTTATTTATTAAGTATGTTAATGGGGCATAGAACATTGAGCACAAGGTAGGTAACTAGGAAAGTGCCAAGAAAGCAATATCAAACTGATTAAAAGGATGTTAACCTTTAGGAAAATGTTTACAAAGTTGAATCATTGTTCAAGAGAAGGAGAAGCTTAACCACTGCTAAAATAAATGACAAAATAGACATATGAGCTTATGAATGTAAAGTCATGGATAAGAAAGTAATTAATTGGGTTTCTTAGAAATAGTAGGAATATTTTTTTAAAAAAATGTATCAGAAGTGACATAAAGTGGACGGCTTTGTTTGAAACAATCCTCCAGCCAAAGACAGATTAGTACTAAAGCTGTGTGAAAGAAAGCCATTAATACCAGTCTATCTGAGAATCATTTTGGGGGACTGAAAGTATAATGGCTGCCCACCTTGTAATTGTGAATGATTTTCCTCAGTATGATTAGAAAAAAATATTTTGTTATGCTTGGTGGCAGTCAGCCACATGTTTAGACTGGATTTGGCATTTTTGTCCCCTTATCAAGTCTTCTCAAGGACCTAGAGTAGGCAGATGTTGTTGTTTAATGGTATTAAATGTATGGTCACAGGATGTAAATTGCAACCAGCAAAGCTGCATTTTGCAGTTGACTTATAGTGATTTTGTCAATGCTGATGGTATTCAAATGGTGGTCCAAATATTTTGGAATTGCAGATCTTTATATCTTGTGATTGTCTCCAGATTTGTCTTTTATTTTCCTGTCTCCAGCTACTGTCACCTCCACACCTTTTGTTTTCTTACCAACAATTGCTAAGTCTTTATGTGGCAGGTGCTTGTCTGCTTAAATTCTCAAATCCCAGAGCACTAGCATCTTCATTTTCTATTACTTTGTCTATTTTACTATTATTATTTATGGCTGCCCACTCCAATAGAATCTAGGTACAAATTCCAAATGCACATTAAAAAACATGACTACTAGTTTGAATGAAGTAAAGAGAAAAAAAAGAACTAAAGTATTCTCCAGAGAAGATAAATACTTCTTGACAAATTAAACATCTTCAGTGGCAATTAATTCATTCAACAGTAAGAGAAATGTATATAAAAATAAATTATGTAAAGCAAAAAAAAAAAAAGATTGAGCTTGCAAATAAACCTGGGAAGAGGGTAGCATATAAATTACAAAAAAGAAAAAGAAAATTATATTGAAACTACAATAGGGAGATATGGTGTTAATGGCAATGTGGCCATGCAAAAAGCATCACGTCAATATTATTATAATTTGTATAAAAAAATGACATCCGTCTAGAAAAAATAGATGAATATCTAAAGCAACAGAATTTACTGAGGATAGATTATGAATAATAGAAGAAATTTCTGAAACTATAAAAACCATTAAATTAGGAAGGGTTGGACCAGATGGATTAGTAGGTTCTAATTATAAAGGTTTTGAGGATGAATTTTTGCAACCTTTACAATACACAATGAACTCTATCCTAAAAGAGGAAAGCTGCCTGAACACTGGAAAGAGGCCAATATAGCATTAATACCTAAAGAGGGACATACAAGTTATTTACAATGTTTCTGGCTAATAGACAATAATCTTGTGGGGTTTTATCTAAAAGACAGTTAAAGGACAATGTCAGAAATATATTAGATATTTTGGGATAGTTGGAGCAACATAATAAAAAAAACAAGCCATATTGATTTTCTTAGATGCAGAAAAGGCCTTTGATAATTTGAACTGGGCTTTTTTGTTTTAAGTTTTTGATGTTATGAATTTTGGAGTGACCTTAATAAAATGGATAAAGTTAATTTGTATTTCAAATTGTTAATGGGGATTTAACAAAATGCTATGAGATACAAAAGGAACAAGGCAGGGTGCTTACTGCCCCCTTTCTTGTTTATTTTACTTCTGGGAATATTGAATAGAGATGTAAGACAAGATGAGAGAAATGTAGAAGTAAAAATTTTTTAAAAAGGAATTTAGAAGTTTTTGCAAATGACTTGGTGTTGAATCTGGGAAATGCTTTAAAGCAGGGGTGTCAAACTGTCAGCGCACTGGCCGGTTGTGTCATGCCAAAACCTCGCCCACTACAGCAATAGGGAAAAAGTCACGATACATCATGGCATGTCACATGATGTTGTGAGTTTAACACCCATGCTTTAAAGGAATTTGAAATATTAATGGAAAAATTAAAGAATGTGGAGCATTAGGTTTTAACATTAACAAATAGAAAAAATGGAACAGAAGTGGTAAATAAAACATGTTTTAAGACTAATACCAAGACAAAATATTTGGGAATCATTATGATAAATATGAACCACATGTTAATTTCAAAATAATTATGTTGCGATATGGAATTAAGTATAAATGGGATATATTAACATGTGGAAAATTACAACTATCATTGTTGGGGGGAAATTTTGTGATAAAAATGAATGTTTTATTTAGAATGATGCTTTTGTTTCAGACAATACTTTTATTGAAACTGATGCACCAGAAGCAGAATGATATATGAATTAATATAAAGTGCTACAAGATGCAAAAGAAAGAGAGTGCCTGGAGTTACCTAATTTGAAATTGTATTTTACAGCTTGCTTTTTGGTTTGGATGTTATTGAGAAATAGAAGGATTTTGGACTTAGAAGGACAAAACCTGAGATTTGGGTGGCATGGATATTTATGATACAATAAACATCAACATGAACTTTAAGCACCTTATGTTAGATATGCCATATTGATAGTATGGAATAGAACAACCCAGGTTATGCCTGAAAACACTTCTGCAGCTCTCAGAACAAGGATTATATTATAGAGAAATAATAAGCAACTACAAATAACTAATTTATTATCAGATGCGAGAATATTGTCAAGAAAAATGTAAAATAAAATCAAGAAAAGAACTGGCGGGTAGAACAATATAACTGTACATGTTTTTCTTATTTACAGTTATTAGAAAGATTTAAAGTAGACAAAATAATTCATGGTTTTGAACATTTTAAGACTGAGTTTGAAATGGAACTGTGTACAAATGATAAACATGTAATTGCTAAAATGTACAAACTTTTATTGAAATTGGAAACTGAAGAAGAACAAGTAAAACTTCATGATAAAGTGAGCTCAATACAGATGTACCAAGGGGAAATATGTGGTTGAAAGGATTGAATTTTACATTATGTTATAATATTAAAGATAATTTTTATCAAACGCTGTACCATTAGTATTTGTCACCAGAGAAATTATCTGGAATCTATAAAAAACACTTTAAATTTATGCTGGAATTATGAACATCAAGAAGGGACTTTTTATCACCTTTGGTGGATGTGTAATAAAGCTAGAAAATTCTAAATTCAAGAACATGCACTAATTCAGAGGACCTAAAAGATGAATGTACAATTGAAAGCAGTGATTTTTCTTTTGGAAATGGTGGACAAAAATTGGAAAAAAGTCATGGAACTTTGTTTTTGTACATGAAAACTGCAATATGATTATGGGATGGCCAAAGATGGAAAGATTCAGCATTACCAACAATGGACGAATGGCTGATGAAATGATGAAACTTGAGGTTTTTGATCAGAGAAAAGACTGTATTACATGTATTGCTGACTGGAAACTCCTTTTAGATGTACCAAGGGGGAATATGTGGAAGCAGAAAAAAATGAGCTTATGATTTATGTTTTGATCATTAAACTGAATAGATTATAGAAAGAAGTATGTTGTAACCATCATATAAATTATAGTTGTAGCAATAATTGCTACATTAAAACATTAAAGGAAACAGACAGCTTAAGCTAAAACATCCACAATAATATCGTATACCATAACAGTAAGTATAAAAATACAAGAAAAACATTAACTCCAGTCCCTGGAGTTTGCGGGCCTTCCAGAACTGTTTCAGAGTGTGGACGCTACTCATGCTGTTCCAGAAGTGGGAGGGGCCTAGATAAAACACTTCTTTGGTCCTGAAAGATGACAAGATTTAATAGAGAGGATCAGGACCACATTTATTCTGTTTGAATATATTAGGTGAGGTTTTATAATTGATAACTAGCACCTTGAATTGTACCCAGAAAATGACTGGCTGCCAATGCAGGTTACATAACAGTGTTCACCCATGGGATAATAAAAGATACCTCTTACTGCTAACACTGTAGTATTTATATTGTAATATTTATTTCATTGCTTTATTGTATTTTTTTTTTTAACTATTTGTAAGACACTCGTAATTTTTGGCATGGGTGGGGGAAGGTATTGAACATCTTATTAAATTCAGAAAATAAATATAATGGAAAGTATGGGGCTATGCTCATTGCAGTACTGAATCAAAAGTGAGCTATCACATTATCAAATCTGATAACCCGGAGTGATATATATATATTTGGTATGGAAATTTTTGCTATGCTTTGATTTATTATTATTTTATTCATTCACTTATTTAAATTAATTATAGATGCCCATTCCCATGTAATCTGGGCAACTATATTGTGTGTGTTTTATTGTGTTTTATTGTACTTCCTTACAAGAGTGTCTCGCATATGTTGCAAACTGATCCGAATCCAGAGACATGTATGTTGTGTGCATAGTGACTTATAGGCACAGATATCTATGGAGTTTGTAGGCACAGTGATGAAAAAGATGTGACCCTCACTAGATAGTCAGAAAATAGCTGCCCTAACTTCTTCTAGTTATGAAGTCGTTGGTATTTGGAAGTTTGAAGGTTATTTTGTCAATTTATATCACTATAAATGGATGCTTGTTTCTGCATGGTTTATTTGATTGTAATAAAGTTAACTGTGGTATTTTCTATAAATATATTATGCTCAAAGCAGTTTATAGAAAACTTGTATAATCTCAATAAAACCACACATTTAGTTCACACAGAGTAATCTATTCTCATAGTAATCGGTTATAATGTCTCTTAAATTATGACACAGAATTAATTTGCAAAAATTAATATTATTAATAATTAGTATGACAAAGAAATATAGGTAGTCCCCAACTTAAAACCTCAGAATTTTGATTGTTATTGGTGTCATAAATCAGAGCATCATATTACTGGACTCAATTTTACAATGGCAATAGTTAAGCAAACCACATAGTTCTAAGTGCAAACCCATTTGCCCAATAGGCATTTTTGCCATTTTTTTGCCAAACGCAAAAAAAAAAGAATCATATATGATCGTGTGATTGTGAGATGCTGTAACTTATATACAAAATGCACATGAACTTAGATGCTCTTGTTATATATATCAATGTTACCTATGCCAAGGTATGCAGTTTTGGTGTGATAATAACAAAGAGGTGGGCCTTCTCTTCAGCAGTCTCTCTCCTGTTGAATAATCACTGCTCTGAATTATGCAAGACTGAAACATATAGTGGGGCTTAAAAGTTTGCCAACCCTTTTGTATTTTCAATATTTCTGCATAGATATGTCCTAAAATGCGATCTGTTCTCTACACAAGTCCTAAAACTAAATACAGAGAACTCAATTAAATGAGTAAAAAACCTTGCACTTGTTCATTTATTTATTGAGGAAAATGATCCAACATTACCTACAGATAATGTTTTAGGTCATATTTATGCAGAAATATTGAACACCAATTTTTACCAGCTGGTAAAAAATTGTATTTCTTGTAATATAAACTGATTTACTGTTAATCTTTTGGAACAGTTCTGAACAATTCCCCTGCATCTTCAAACAATCCTTTAGATAATTGAAGATAACTATCATAGTTTTGTCTTCTCCAGGTTAAGAGTACTGTAACTAATATAGTATCTCCAACTATTATCTTTGTTGGTTTCTTATCATCTTGGTTACACTTTTATGGTCATGTTATTGTTTCTCAGTGTCTTTTCTATTACAATGTCCAGAACTAGATACAATATTCTGAGGGCTGTCTGCAAAATAGAGACAATTTTGTCACTCTGTTTCTATTAATACAGCTAAGATTGTATTTGCTGTTTTGTAGCTGCATCACTCAGTGGGTTCATGCTCAACTCAAACATAATATCTAGATCATTTACACATGCACTACTCCCCAGTCTGCTCCCATTATCCTATAGTCATGTCTTACCTTTTTCCTACCCAAATGTTTGTGTTTGCATTTTTCCCTGTTAAACTTACTGGTTTCCACTTAGCTTGTCAACATATTTCTGAATTTTGCTATCCCCTCAAAGCTTGCAATGATAGCAATAGAAATAGCATTCAGACTTATACACTACTCCACAGTGCTTTACAGCCCTCTCTGAGTAGTTGACAATGTCAGCATATTTTCCCCAACCATCTGGGTCCTCATTTTACTGATCTCGGAAGGGTGGAAGTCAACCCTGAGTCAACTTTGAGCTGGTCAGGATCAAACTCCTGACAATGGGCAGAGTTAGCCTACAATATTGCATTATAACCACTGCACCTCCATGCCTCCTGATAGTTAGTATTTTACAGGTTTGCTTTATAAACAAAGGATTATTTTCTCCTCACTTTTGTGACTAAAGCAAACTCATATAGAAACCAAAATCTCATAACTTTTACAGTTCTTAATTAGAAAACTGAATATTACGAAGGATAACTGTTGCAGGACATTATGGTATAGAATTGATGGCAAGAAAGTTTTTTTTTTTTTTGCTATAATAGATATGCCTTAAAATTAGCATTGTAAAATCCTTCCCATATTCAGTTGCAATTGACTCATGTTCTGTACACCTAAGTATTGTATTGTCAGAAAATGTACATTAAAACAAAAAGGCTGAGCTCTATGCAAGAGCAGATGGCACTTAAAACTAATAGCATAAATTGGCTGGATCTCCTCCTCTGATTAGTCTATTCTCCTGGTTCCTTATAGGCCATGTCTTTAAACAAAGACTAAAGGTCAAACTAAAACCTGTATGTTGATTCCTGGCTGATTCCCTCTTTCAGTGAATTTTAATATAAACAGATACTGAAGGTATCATCATTCTATTTAGTCTGTATGCATGCCTATCTCGGTAATTAACAACAGAAACATAAAACCAAAGTCAAATATCACTGAAAACCTAAGCCTCTCTCATCATCTTATTTTTTAAAAATGACAATGTTTTGGCACCTGTGTGGTTTGTGTGGTTTATATTATCTTGTGCAATGATTCAAATGACGGTCCAACAAATACCATAATACAAAAACCATGTCAGGTTCAGACTGTATTAAGCTCAAGCAGGGCTTTAACAAATCAGTAATTTAAAGTAAAGTACACAATAAACATATTGCTGGATAGATTAGCCTTGGTATTTGGGACCAATGTAATGTACATTTAAATGGAAACATAAACATAAAAACATCTTCCTAGTTTTCTCCATTTTTATACTGTATATTTTTGCATTCCTATTTGTTTTGGTTAAATGTTCATTTATTTAATATTAACACTTTCTGCCAATTATTTACAGATGATCACTCCAGGGTGAGACTGCAATTACTAGATGGAGATCCTCATTCAGATTATATTAATGCAAATTATATTGATGTAAGTGTTGTAAGAAAATATTTTTGTATAAGGAAGTGTCTGAAGAATCGCTAAGCAAATTGTCTTCTGATGTGATCCTTATTTAGTGGGCTACATTAGATTTAAATAACTATTTTGTGGTAGAAGACAGTAGCAATACTCTAGCCAGTAACTTTTATGAACATTTACTCCACTAAATTTCCCTAGAAGTAATTAGAGCCATCATGGCAAATTAAAATGGAGCTAGATCCAATTACCTGGTACTTTGCAGGTTTAAGTGAGTACTTTAAGTACTTTGCTAAGTAAGGGGATGAAGATTACTAAATCACACCCGTGCCACAGGATAGAGTCCAGGTTTTTAAGAATCAGGCATTTTTCTTTAAATAGAATTTAGTAAAATAAACAAACAAAAACCAACAACAAATAGAGGAAGAACTTACAATGTCTGAATCAAAATTTGCATCCCAAAGCCAACACAAATTAATTACATTAATCAATGGACTAATTGAATAAGAATGGCTCATGTTGTGCTTGCAATTTTGTCAGTTTTTGACTATCTTTTGTTTGAATGGGATGTGGATTGAATGGGATTGAATATATGTTTTATATAATTTTATGAATATAGGAAAGTGTCTTACTCTGTCAGATTATTTGCTCAACTTACCTAAGTAATGTTCATTATTTGTTTAATACTGTCTAATCACCTTCCACAATCTTGGAATTTTTTTGTTAGTTAAATGTTAAAGAAGATTGTTAGAGATCAGTGGTATTTACTGCTAAGTAACATACAAAGGAATGAAAAGCCTTCAAAGGCCAATGTCTAAATAGCGTTCTTTGAATTTTGGCAAAATAATACATTTTTCTTGTTCTCATGATCCCAACCGCCCCATGTTGCTAGAAAATTAGAAGTGTAACCATATTGATCAATATGATGACTGTTGCAAAAAGATCAGGAACCTGAAATGCAAAGAGTTTATTGTAAATCTATATATAAAGCATCCTGAAGAGATTTTGTAAAATTAAAGAACAGAAAGAAGAAAGAAGGATGCAGTTAACAAATTAAATATATTCATCTGACTAATAAAAAACTGAATTTTGAACTAAATTAAGTGTGTAACTTCTAGCAAACAACTAAACATACTCTTTTCTCATGTAAGTATTTATAATTGCCACTTATATCACAGTGTTTTAAAAAGATCCTCCAATTAAGAAAAGGGAAAACATGTAAAAATGTATATTCTACATGATTTCCTTAAAAACAAACCCCACATACAAGCTAATGACTTATTCTGCTTTGACAAGAAACAGATGTGTGTGCCACAGATGAGGGAACACAAATGTCTCCATGTTTGTTTTGTTAACACAAAATATAAGCTAAATCCTAAAGTGAATATGGTTTAGGCCAGTGGCTCCCAACCTTTTCTATACCCCGTACCCTAGAATGCTTCTGATATATTCTCGCACCCCTTACAAAAGTTTGAAACAATGGCAATGAATTATGCATATACACTATAATTTTGAAAACCCAAGTTTTTGCATCCCCTGAAATATTGTCTCGTACTCCAGGGGGTGCGAGCACCCCTGCTTGGGAACCCTGGTCTAGGCAGATAGTATGAAAGTAAAGTCTAGTTTTTATCCCTAGTCATAAATCTCCTTTTTTATTGATACACAAATGGTTTCAGAATTTTTAGAACTATAAGGAAATCTGAGGCAGTTCCTATCATAAATAATTCATGTGAATATGAATGATACTATGTTTTCTTTTCACTCAGTAGTATTATATAACTAATATCTTTGGGAATCTTTCTTTAGCCCAGCTCAGATATGATCTTTAGAGGTCTGCAGTAGTCACCTTGAGAAAGCTTCATTTGTTCTCCAGCTGACCTGTAAGATACAGTCTGGAGACTTTACCTGTCTCTTTGTCTGTCTCAAGCATCCAGATATTAAATCTCCATCACTACCATCCCTCTAATTCACACTCTAATTCTAATAATTGAATGAATGAGAATTTTCTGCCTCTGTCCTGAGGATATGGAGGCAATGCAATTTTCATATCCTCTTTCCTACTACAGATGCTGCAAAAATAACATTGATTTTTGTAATTTTAAGCAAACTTCTAACGTCAAATGCATATCTGAATTGTACCTGAAATTGAAATTCATGGGTTTCCCTTCCTTGTTTTCTTTTTAGGGATACCATCGGCCTCACCACTACATTGCAACTCAAGGTAAGTACCATAGAATCAGAGCGTGGTCCAAATGATTTGATCTGAAGATTTTATAAAAATAATAAATAAGTGATATAAAGTTGCCTGAAAGCTGGTAGTGCAATTAATTTGGAAGATAAATCATTGTAGGTGATGTATTTAGTTTGTTATTCATCCTTGTCATTTGAACATGATTTTTCAAATTAATTATGATTTCTTTAATAACAGTATGAATTCTTGCATTTACATTTTTCTTTTTGGATGTATTTTCTTAGAATATGTTTCTTAAGTTAAAAATAAGAGTTTAATTCTGTTTTGACATAAGCATTTAGTCCAACTTAATATACAAATGGGTTTTTTTATGCATACTAATTGAAATTTCACATATGTTGCCCTTGGTTTCATAGGAGTCATAAGATTCCTTTGTAATTAATTAAACTTGTGTTGCATCCTTTAATTTTAATATTTTTTTCAAAATGACATTTTTTCACGTTTTCAATATTTTTTTAAAAAAAAGGAAACAAAAAGCACAATCAGAAATATGAAAGCCAGCACCTAGCATCAAATTCTCAAAGGGAATGAAAAGATTTCTGTTAAAAATCACACATTCATTTTGTAATCACACATTCATTTTGTAATTAAAATGTGACCCAGGAGTATTATCACCTAACATCTCACCCTATAATTGAGGGTGCATTTATAATTCTAGGTGCCATTCATACTATGTAAGTATTCTTCCCAGATCTAGCAGTGTCCCAGTATAAATTAATATTCTATATCTGTCTCATGTGTTATTCCAATGTGACCTTCAATTATGAGTATTTATATCTGTTTGCAGTACTAACTGAAAGTTTAGCATACCATTTTAAATCCTACCATAGTTACTTGTATGATTCAACAGCTGTATCGCTCTTCAGACCTCACCTAAGAAAACACTCAGGAGATTTTTGTGTTTCAGTAGTAGAAGGGCTGTTGGCAGAAAAACAAATAAATTGAAATGTTTTTGCTAAAGTAATCTTTGGGAGGTCTCTTTTGTTTTACTTATTTTGCCTTCAGGGCCAATGCAAGAGACAGTGAAGGATTTTTGGAGGATGATCTGGCAGGAGAATTCAGCAAGTGTTGTCATGGTCACCAACCTAGTGGAAGTTGGCAGGGTAAGATGTTAATTTCCAAAGTTATCAGTCATATATTGTAGTTCCTATCATTCTTACACGTACTCAGTTTGAAATCTTCTATACCACACTGACACATTAACTGGCAATATATTCAAAATTACTTCAAATTGGCAATTACATACAGATTTTAAAATACATTTTGGTATTGTCACAATAATATGGATTTCTGAATAAATTTGCTATCTAACTGCATTTCTAAACCTACAAAATATGTGTTTAAATAAATGTTTGAGCTAAGAACTCAGAATGTAATGAAGTAGAGAGTCTGAAGTATAATTATTACTTCTAGTGTATATTACTCTGTTTTCCCAAATTTTAAAGCATTTGAACAAATAAAATACCTGCTCTCAGATATGGTGTAAAAATTAAACAGTCAGCAAAGGAGTGAGTTAAACTGTATACTCCCAATTTTTTCAAGTTCAGTTTTGAACACATATTAAGGGAGGCTAATTTCAAAAAGATTAAAGTCACTTCAAAACTGGACAAAAACCTAAACTATGCTGATAACACTATTCTGATAGCTGAAAAGGCAAATAATATGCAAGTTCTAGTAATAAACGACATAGAATCCAGTAAAAAACAAGACTACGATTAAATATAAAGACTAAACTAATAACAATACCACAGCCAGCTTTAGAACTGACAATGAAGACATTGAAGTGATAGATACCTTCTGCTTTTAAAACTTCAATTATTAACAAGAGCAGGAATCAAAGAGCCAGAAGTCAACAAATATGTACAGTCTAGCACTTGGTAGGATAAGAATAAAAGCTGTGGAAGAAATATTCATATTCTATAATATGTCTATACCTATAAAGATCAAAAACATGCAAGTAATGGTTTCTCTATCACACTCTATGTTCAACTTTGGGGAAAAAAGGATAAAAAGAATAATAATGTTTTATGAACTATGGTGTTGGAGAAGATTCCTCAGAATACCATAGGTAGCCAGGAAAACAAAGAAATGGATCACAGAACAAATCAACTCAGAATTTCCATTTGAGGCACAAATGGCCAAGTTCAAGTACCATATTTGGGACATACTATGCAAAGGTCATAATATATCTTAGTAAATCCATAACATTGGAAAATGTAGAAGGAAAGAGAAGACAATGACCAGGATCAAGGTGGAGGAATTCAATTATTGCAGTAATGGATACACTATTAGGAGACATGAAGGATATATCCAGATCATTTTGAAGAAGGATGAATATATATTAAGAGTTGACACTGATTTGATGGCACATAACTTATCAATACAAAAAGGGTCTTTATATAGCTAGAACTTATCATAGTAGCAATTTTGTACAATTACCTAATTTTAGTTGTGCATTTTTTTCCCATCATCTTTTTTCTCTTTCACTCAGCTTTTCTGATGTTATTTTTCCCCTGCATTATTTGAATTTTATTTTGTACAGAACTCAGATCTGACAAATTTAGATTGGATTCCTTCTGTCTTTCCTAATTTTAATTAAATCAGAATTAACTATTCAGTGAATGAACAATATTTTATGCTATCATTTTCCCAGCTCTAATGTAGATCATCATTGTATCTTGATAAATATTGTTAGGATAGCAAATCTGGCTGTTTGCAAATTGGTTGACAAACACCACAGCAATCATAATAATATTTGTTCATGTATCACTATTCATATATATATAATTATGTTTACATATGATATACATTATACACATTACTAGTCTAATTCAAAATGAAGTACTGCCAATATAGGCTGAAAAAGGTTTCCATAAACAAATGGATTTCATATGTCAAACACATATACCAGAACAAATAAATTACATCAGTACTTATTGTTTTGGGTCTTTTCCGGGTTACTAATAATTGATGCAGACAACCATGTACATGAGAGGTCCTATGCAGTGTCATTCTTATTTCTTCTACAGGAATGTACATTTTAGGCCCATATCTAGAGCTACGAAACAATGCCTTACAGCTAAATGTCATACATTAATTTTCACTTTTGTGACTTTCCCCTCCATAGGTGAAGTGTGTCAGATACTGGCCTGATGACACAGAAGTCTACGGAGATATCAAAGTGACCTTAATTGAAACAGAACCATTGGCAGAATATGTCATACGTACTTTTACAGTCCAAAAGGTAAGAATACATTGGTCCTACTTTCCTCATCAACTAATTTGTTTCCCAGTATATCCACTTCTTTCCATGTTTTATTAAAAAATGTGAAAGTCAATATGAAATCATCACTATACATTATACACTTTAATATATAAAATAAATTAGACGGAGACATGGAGGACAAAAAACATGGCTACGCATTATCTCCAAAAATCAGAGAAAATACCTCTATACAGAACAGCAACTTTCATGCATAGCTTAATAATTTCCCATAGACTAGGGGAATTTATTCCAGTGATAAGCAGAATTGTAAGTAGAATCCTAGAACATAAAGAGACTGCCTAGGCCATGAAATCCAAATTTCTATCCAAAATTTCCTTGATCTTATCTAGCAAAGACAAGCCCATTATCCCTTATCTAGCAAAGACAAGCCCATTATCCCCGTGATGGCCAACCTATGGCATGCATGCCACAGGCAGCATGCGGAGCCGTCTCTGGTGGCATGTGAGCCATTGCTGGGCTGAGCTGCTCCCTCCTCCTCTCCATGCATGTGCAGTCTGGGAATAGGTGAGAGGCTATAAAAGGAGCAACTTTCTGCAGAAGCAGCATTTGCTGCAGACAGCTTAAGAGTGAGCACAAGTCAGAGCGGACAGCAAGTGAGTGAGCAAGCACGAGCTGACAGCTCTGGGGCCATGCCCACTCAGTGGCCACACCCACCCGGCACCCGGAGATGCATAAGTGAGTTTTGGGTTGCAGTTTGGGAACTCGGTCTCTAAAAGGTTCGCCACCACTGCCTTAGTGTTATATTGATTGCTTTCACTATTACAGCAAAGTGACATTCATCTTAACAGCAGTAGCACTTAGACTTAAACTCTTATCATTAACCTACATTATTATTTTCTTTTTCTTAAGAAAAGGTATGAAACTTGAGATGAATACCGTAAGGAAGCTCATCATGATCCTTTATACCATAAGTGTATAAGCCGGTAGAATATTGCTCTATAGAATACTAGCTTTTTTTTTCTGCTTTCAAGTAAGATGTTAATATTTCTTTACCGCACAGCAGTAAAGAACTACTAACATTTTATTTGAAAGCAGTTTGAATTGTTTCAGGGAAGGTTTTTATTATATGATTATTTGTATCAAGCATTATATTGCTAATTATTGGATTAAGTACGTAAGTGCATTTTTAAGTAATTGGTACTTGTTCCTGAGTGTCATTCTCTAGCAGAATGGCAGATAAAAAAACATATATACATAATATATATTTTGAAGACATAAATGTTTCCTACTTTTAAATACATTTTTTTTCAAAAGTAGCCAAAGCCAGAACAATACATTTTTGAAATACTAAACAAGCTAAAACTATATTACTATAATTGTTATGATCATAGCATTTTCAGAATAGTTATTTGGCATGCTTCCCTTGTTCTTAATTTGGATTTTAGCCTTACTGAGTATACTTTCCAAATAGAAAAATACAGAAGGTAGTTTAATTATGTACCACTTATACTGCTACTTTTAAAAAACTAGCTTGCTACTGTTTAGTGCGAAGATATTTATCATCATATACTGGATGTGAATGTGAAAGCTCTTCATCAATCTGCCAGCTTTAACAAACAAAGGTATGATTGCTTACTAGTACACAAGTTCTTTTGCAACCTTTGTTCAAGGAATGATAGGAGAAACTTGCACAGTATTTTCTTAAAATGAATTCATGAATCTTGAAAACTATTTTTATTAGAATTGTCCAAATTGTGTACACATATATATTCAATAATGATAGTAAAAATGTGACTCCCGGGCATAATTATGAATAGAATGAATAATGCGCGATCACCAGGAGAGTTAAAAGTAAAAATACTTTAATAAAAGTACTTCACTATATTAAAAAGTTGCCAAGCTTTCGTTGGGAAAACTCCCCAACATCTTCAGGGCTGAGAGATCATTTTTGATAAGGTGGTTTAAACAGGTTCCGTAGATGTCTGCGCGCGGCTCCTAGACTGTTCAAGAGAGCGACGAGAGAGAACATTGCGCTGGTTACTTCTCCCGCCTATCAGCTGATCGGCCGGTAGCGCAGTCTAGGAGCCGCGTGCGGACGTCTATGGAACCCATTTAAACCACCTTATCAAAAACGATCTCTCAGCCCTGAAGATGTTGGGGAGTTTTCTCAACGAAAGCTTGGCAACTTTTTAATATAGTGAAGTACTTTTATTAAAGTATTTTTACTTTTAGCTCTCCTGGTGATCGCGCATTATTCATTCTATTTATATATATATATATATATATATATATATATATATATATATACATACATACATACAGACAGAGAAATACATATACACACTTTTTCACTTTGCCCTTTCAGAAATCACACACACACACACACTCACTACTTGAAGATGCAAGTAAGATTGAAGGAAAGATCGGATATATTTTTTCCCCACAGTTTGTCTTCAAAATTGTTTGATTGTTTTAAGTGCTCCATGAATAAGATAATAGAAGCAGGGTGTTTTTTCATTGTAACATTCTAGGTAAAGTAAGATTTTATATTTAGATTGATTTCTGTTGGGTAAATCTAGCCTCAACTTAAGAAAGAAACAATTCCTAATTAAGTAGTAGTAATTGTTATGCAAGAGAATAGAAGATTTTTTTATTTTATATCCTTTTCAGAAAGGCTACCATGAGATTCGAGAAATTCGTCAATTTCACTTCACTAGCTGGCCAGACCATGGAGTTCCTTGTTACGCTACAGGTCTCTTGGGCTTTGTTCGACAAGTGAAGTTTCTCAACCCACCAGATGCAGGGCCTATTGTTGTGCACTGCAGGTACAAACTTTGTTTCTATCTTTCATTTCCTTTCATCCATTTTCACCAGTGCTGCTTATGTCCCTAGCTTACCAGGCAGTCCACTGTGTTGCATTATCCAAAATCATACCATACAGCAAACCTTCTATATATCAACTTTATTTCTTTCTTTCATTAGATCACTACTATTCACAAAAATATAGTTTGTCCCAAGCAAACAGAATATTTGTTTCATGCTTTCATAGTGATCATAAATATACATTTTTGTTAGATACACAATCTTTGATTCCAATGTAGAAGACTAGATTGAGTATTGCACAGTATTCCTGAGTAGGATGCTATAACTACTGTATTTTAAGTAACCATTAATAACATTAACCATTAATAACATTCACGCAATATCATGTTCAAAATTTAAATCTGATAGAAGCATTTTCTGCTATAAAAAGTATTAAAGCATATTACATATTATAAATACTGTTCTAAAAGTAGATGAACAACTTGATTCTGACCTCAATGGATAATATTCTGAATAAATCTGAAGATGCTCATTTTTAATTTTAAATGATCCTCATGTTCCTAACCTTTTTTTTTTTTGTTAAGTGTTGAAGTATCAATATTCAGCTATAGTAGCAATGGCTAAATTTTCCTAAAGTTTTAGAGTCACTCAATAGTAGATAGGTGGCATATAAAATTAATAAACAAACAAACAAATAAATAAAATGCTTTCAGAAGGTCATCTATTGGTCATCTAATTATTTTCATCTCAAATCTTTATGAATAATATGGGTCAATACTTAGGAATATAATTAAGTATGTTAATTTTATATTTATTACAATTCTGAACATCAGAAAAGTGAATTAAAGAGAATGAAATGCCATATATTCATTAAGATGATATCAATTATTCTTTCCTACGTCTAGTTTAATCTGGCCGATAATTCATACTCTATTCACACCTGCTGGATTTTGCAATATTTTGTTTAGGTGCATTTTCATCAAAGCCTGGAAAGGACATTGTAAGTTCTGTCCTGTTTGCAGAATAATATTTCACAGTGAGAGAAAGGAGACATGAAAGATGATTTGCATTTAGAGGAAACTCATTTTTTTTTCTATCCAACCTGAACGACTGTGCATGGCAGAAATAGAATGTGAAATTATTTTCCAGTAAGATTTGCTGGCTGCCATTGTGAGTCAATCAAGGATGAAAGTTTTGGTAAAAGCAGTGGAAAAATCTAGTGTCCTGCAATTTTATAAGATAAATTTTCTGTGGTACAGACTGCTGACCTTAACTTGGAAAACTGTCAGCAGTCAGCAACCATTTATATGCACAGCAATGACTGAATTCCCCCTTAACTGGTAAGGACAGGAATTCTCCTGCCATCAATTGTCCCATATCAGCAGCCAATGGCTACATTTGTAACCTGCTTCATTAAATCTTAAATAGGGCAATTTTTAGAAATGGCCAAAGAGTTAATTTGGAATTTGTTCATGTAATAATTTATTGTCACCCTGAGTTATTTTTAGGAATACAACAATTTAAAGGATAAAATTTATGCAGAGTTCATATTTTTTTTCCACTAAGAATCAAACTATACCATTAATAAATTTGCAGTAGTGATCATTTGCATCCCTTTGGATTGTGGGGTTTAAAATTACCAACACAATTCTCTGCAATTTTTGGCTGGCACTTAAATTCAAATATGATTTAAATAAACTCTGGGTAAATGTGTTTTAATATATTTAAAGTTGATTGTGTCAACAAAATGTATTTGTAGAAAATGTGATGTCTAATGAAATAAACTTGAATTACAAAATTAGGACATCAGGGGAAAAGTTATAGCTCAGCCTTTTTCTGTACACATTCTTTTTATGTGTGCAGAAAACCTCTTTCTTTTCCTTTCTTAATTGCTAGTACAACATTCAATGTGCAAATTGGATTCCCTGCATGCCAGATAAAGTTGGACCAGTACTTCTGCAAGATACACATTTCTGAAAGAATATGACATTCAGAAGTCCAAATAACCTGGACATCTTTACAGAATTGAGGCTACTGTGGATAACATGTGCGTAATTTATAGGAGAGAAATTTTAACATCTAGATTGTCAGACTAGTGAAAAGTTGGCATTTTGAGATCAGACTTAATTTCCCATGCAAATAATCTGCCTAATCTTCAAGGGTCAAGGTGCAGAAGAAAATATGCAGATTTTTTATAGTCATATATCTTCTGAAATAAACAAGAAACTTTTTAAAACAAAGAAAGTGAAAGGATGATTATTTCAAATAATGGAGCTCATCTCTCTTTCCTCCTTCCTATTTATTGTTCATTGCCTTGCAGATATATACTTGCACCAGGTTTCATTTAAGACAAAGCCAAGAGGCAAGCTTGGTTTTTTTAAATTTTATGTCTTCTTTCTTTCTCTCAGTACTTTTTTTTACTTCCCCTTCTTCTTAATTTTGCAGCTTTTCAAAGAGAAGCTAAAATAGGCAGTGAAGTTCAGATCTTTATAGCAAAGAGGGACTAAAGAAAAATACAGCTGCATTTGCACCATATATCCTCACCACAGTCTACAGACGAACTCACTGTTATGCCTTTCCATGGTTCATTGATGAAATCCTTGTTCTAGTTTCCATCTCTCTTTCAGTGCCGGTGCTGGGAGAACAGGGTGCTTTATTGCCATAGACATCATGCTTGACATGGCAGAAAATGAAGGTGTGGTGGATATATTTAATTGTGTGAGAGAGTTGCGATCCCAGAGAGTTAACTTGGTGCAGACAGAGGTATCCTTTTTTTGTTGTCTTGTTTTTCAACCTATTCCTAACCAAAAGCTCAGTACTTTCAGATGGATGCAAACTGAATAAAATGAAAGAAAACTTGTGAAAATATATGATATTTCAAAATATTTTTAGCACGCTAGCTTAATTTTAATAAACTATGTTAGCTTAATTTAGTAACATTACTTTCCATGATATGAAATACCTCTAAGCTCCATTATTGCTCAGGGATTCATAAAACATACATATGATTATTTTTTTGCTACAATTCTTACAGAAACTGAGGTGGCTAGTACCATTTTAGCAAAGTCATTTTTTCCAAATGCCACTTTTAAAAATATATGAATGATTCATACAGAAATAAAATCTATGTTCACCACCAGATTCAAACAGCATATTTATAATGGCCAACATTATATTCATAGTCTATTTTCCATTAAAATAGTTAATGCATATCAGTTTCCATGAGCTGAAATACAGCCAGCATTATAGGCACTTTCCTAGATTTCTCTAACTACCTAAGATTCAAGGAAATTCTATAACACATTTAGGTTTTGAGGTTATTTTATAAGATTCAGTGGTTGAAATCTTTAGAATCAAGGTTAGAATTTTAAATTATGTTGATTCTTTATACTTATAAAACTTATACTTGGAGTTGGGCAGCCTAGAAATTCAATCAATTAACCAGTCAAACAATAAATAAAGAGTGCTTATGATCTTCCAGTACAAGTTCATTCAGATATATTTATTGATCAGAGAACTGTGATTATGTTTATTTTCCTGCTGGCAAATGATTGATTATATTAATGAGTAAAATAAGTCAATCTGCTTAACAAATAATAAAAGTGGACAGAGTATTTCATGGTTAGACTATTTCATGGAATCAAAGTCTATCTTCATTTAAAATATTGAGGATTTAGACCTAGCAATTTATTCAATCACGTAGACAGTGTAAAATGGCATGAAGGTAGATGGCTCTGTAGACTAGACATAAACAATTGTAATGATAAAATAGATTAATATCTAAGCAAAATAAGCTCATTTTCAATAGTTTTTATCTACTGAAGTGCTGATACTTCTTATAATATAGTCATCACCAATATAAAACTGTAAGCACTTTCACACTGTACACTTTTGTTGGATCAGGGTAGTGTTTCATTTTCTTGTTGACCTGAAATTCTTGGAAGTTTCATTAAAGTGAAAGACATTACAATTGCTTCTGAAGGCCCTGATGGTGATGAACAATTAACTTTTTTGATATGTAGGAGCAGTATGTGTTTGTTCATGATGCCATTCTGGAAGCGTGCCTTTGTGGCAACACTGCCATTCCTGTTTGTGAATTCAGATCTATATACTACAACATCAGCAGATTGGATCCACAGACAAATTCCAGTCAGATAAAAGATGAATTTCAGGTAAGGTAATGGATAAATAATGTGCCTTATATGTCCTGAGTCATAGAAAATTATGGCTAATGTGCTTGGGTTGAAATAGATTTTATAAAGATTACAAGGGATTTTAAGGATTATTCAGGATTTTCTCAAGGAAGAAGTGAATCCTATAAACTCCAAAATCCTTTTCAGGTTATAGTCCATCCAGGAAAGACTTTTCCCCCTCATATGAATTTGACATCAATAAGTCCAGAAGTCCTTGATAGTCTGCCTCTGGAAAAAATACTTAAGTTAATTCAGGATTCTCTTGGCCCAAATAGTATTTGTGGACAAGAGCCATCCTTCTTCTAGTAACTTTTCTTGGAATATTTTATTTATCTCTTCATTTGAGAAAGTCTCTCCTCTGTATACAAAGGTATCATTTGCAACAATGTTCATATGAAAGTGTCCAAGTGTGCTTGGAAACTGCTTGGAAGCTACTGCTGGTTAAGAATGTAGTGGCATGTGCAGTGATAGATGTGTTGCATTATATTTATTTATTTATTTATTTATTTATTTATTTATGAGACTTATATACCGCTTTAAGTGCAAGCACTCTCTAAGCGGTGTACACCAGTAAGCAATATATATATATATATATATATATATATTTACATTGCCCCAACAATCTGGGTCCTCATTTTACCTACCCCGGAAGGATGGAAGGCTGAGTCAACCTTGAGCCGGTGAGATTTGAACCGCTGACCTGCTGAACACAGTCAGCTAAAGTGGCCTGCAGTACTGCACTCTAACTGCTGCGCCACCTCAGCTCTTTATGCACATTTCCCTGCAGTTTTGCAAGCTGCACTGACTACCAGTTGGGTTCTAAATGAAAATTAAAGCCCTAGGTTCTGGTTACTTGAGGGACTGCCTGCCTCCATATGTTTCCACTGCACAAGTCATCTATAGTGGGCACATTCCAGTTGCCATCAACTATGCAGTTTCATCTTATGGGACCTAGAAAGGATAGTGATGACTCTCACTGATGGGCCTTCACCTGTAGAATGATATCTTCCCAGATATTCATACTTCTCTTACTTTTCTGACTTTCTACAAATTGCTTAAGACCTGGTTGCCCTCCCAGGTTCATGGTATTTGGGATCTTCAGTAAGCTGCCTTTTTTCTTTTTTTTCTTTTTTTTATCTGTAAGTTGCCCAGAGGTGCTATAGAGTCAGGCAGCTTCAAAATTAATCATATAAATAATGTAATAACCAGGGATTTGATAAGTAGAGATTTCATAGATAGATTCAAATGTACAAGTAAGCCTTTCAGTTCATTTCCTATCTCTATAGAAAATGATTACAAAATGCCTGGCTAGGAAAGCTTATGTCTAGAAGCATGTGATCTTTGTCAAATAATTGACATACACAATTATCGAGTTCATATTGTCTGAAAAAAAGAGAAGCCAAAGGAAATAGGTCAGGTTATTTCCAAGTTAATTGTGGATGAGCCTTAAGAGTCTTATCCATCTTTAGACATGCCTGTTTTAGTTTGTGTGAATAATCCATTCCTGTTTAAAAGATATGATTTTAAATATTGAGAAACAAATGACAGATAAGAAACTAAATTTGAAATGAAACTTCTTAGTCACATGACTAAAATGGCAAAACTCAATCCGGAAAATATAGGTAGGAAATGTGACTGCTTCTGAACATGCATGATAGATTTTTCCATCATTATTACAAAATTGTAAACCATACTTAGATAACAGAGTTATACTCCTGCAAGGTGTTTATCCGAGAGTGTTATAGATTAAGCATTGAGATTAGTTATTTCTTGATTTTTAGTTCTGGTTTGTCTTAAGCGTTTGCTTTGATCAATGTTCTGAGTTATGCTCATATTGCTTTACTTTCATATTGCATTACTGAAAAGTTACAATTCTGTGACCAGAGAAAATGTGATTAAAAGCCCCCACCTGCTCCATATTTATAGTACTTGTCAGGCTCCATGCCAGGGTCTGATGGTAAATCACAGCTTTTCTCTACGCTTAACACAATTGATTGCCTATTGCAGTACAAAAATATTATTGCTAATAGACATGTAATGTATATACTCATAGCTCTCCACCAGCACCTAGTCTATTAAAAGGGTCAGTCTTTTTATGGCTTTGGGCAGGGGTATTGGCTGGTTCACGAATTCTAGATATTGAAGTCCACAGTCATAAAAGTGCCAAGGTTCCCTAGCCCTGGCCTTGGGGGACAGCTGAAAGATATTTAAATAATAGTCATTTCTAGCCTTTTTGTATGCTTTCCTTCACCTCCATTAATCTGCAGGTGTCAGGTATTTCTCGCTATTCCTCCTCCTAATTGTGGGCAGGGTGGAAGTAATAGTGCTTTTCCTTACTTCTTTGACTGAAGTGAATAATATTTACTGCCTTTCATTCTTCTCTGTTCCTCCATTCTTCTAACATTGGACAGTAGGAAGGGATTAAGAATGTAAGAAAATAAATATGGGAAAAACACCCGTCAGAAGCTTCTTGTAGTCAGAGCAGACATCTGTTAGGTATTCCATATGTTTAAGGAGATGGATCCAATGCTACAAAAGTTCCATTGATGGCCAAAAGCCTCTTGTTAAAATCATTGTAGTTATTTTCAGGAGGAAGAAGTTTACCTGGAAGCAGATTTCCAAGGAAGTGTCCTCAGATTTTGGAGCAGATTGTAGAAGTTCCTAGATGGAAATCAAAATCATCAGTCAATACAATTAGGTGGTGTACAAGTGAACATGGGCTACAAAATGAATGTTGTTTGAGTTGAAGAAAGCTTTATTGGACATTAAAATCTCACTTTGAAGGAGACTTCTTGATAAGATGATTCAGGGATGTGGCTATGGCTACAATTTAGGAATACCGTATATGCCGGTGTACAAGGTGACCCGGCGTATAAGATGACCCCCATCTTTATCGCTGAGCCACATTCCTAGAACGTCGTCTTATATGCCGGAAACTACCAGTCTTTCCGGCGTATAAGATGACTCGGCATATAAAACGACCCCCATCTTTGGCCCCGATTTTAGCGCTCGCGGAAGTCACCTTATACGCCGGCATATATGGTAAATGTATTATAAATTTGGCAAAATTCTGAAAAATATGATATGATATAAAAGTTCTTATAATGTTTATTATGATAAAAAGCCCAGAAGTATAATGAATGTTGGGAGCTTCAAGGCAGTATGGATTCTACCATAGCAAGATCCATCTAAATTCTTTTCATATATATACCAAAAGGTATAATTTAGCCAAGATCCACAGAATAAATTAGCCCAGTATAGGTTATATATAGATACTGTATGTAGTCAAGAATAAAACATTATGGATAATGTGATCCATACTGTTGAAGAACATATATCTGCTCATACTAATAGAAATGTTATGTAGGCTGCCCCTTCTTCACAACAAAAGCATGCTTCCAGCCATCATAGAAAAAGCAGAAAGAAGTGGACAAGAATTAACACTTTCAATTGCTTCTATATGGTCTCATTTAAAAGTAGGGTACTCACTGAAATGTGTCTTCAATTTTCTTCCAAGCACAGAAGATCAATTAGATTCTTGCTCCCTGAATTAACTGTTTCCAATACAGATGGGAGGGTCGGGGTGGGAAATGCAAGAAATAATTCAATAGGATATTAACCAATCTGTAGAGCCTACCTGCATAATCAAGCTTCTCATAACAAGAATCAAGGACAGTTATTCACAACCCTTGGTCCTAAAAAACAGTTTAGAAGAGGTTTAGTTTGGTAAAGAAGTATTCTTCTATACGAGAAATAAGAGTTCATAATGCAATCTATGATGGTTATAAAGTTCAAAAGCCAGTGACTGTTGACTAGTCATGGGTAACCGTGTTTCCTCTTGACACAAAATCAGAGCATTGCCTTTCTGTAAGTTTTCACTATAAAATATTTAGACAAGCTAATTATGTATTTGACTGAGTACTGGTGTTTTGTGAGAATTTATATTCAAGGAATAAGATTGAGTGTGCAATGGTTCTTGTATTTGGCTGGTAAAATACAAGGATGCATTTTCTGAAGGAAAGTGAGTGTAGATCAGGGGTGTCAAACTACTGGCCCATGGGTCAGATGCATCATACCGAAACTATGTCCACTCCATTGCTGGCAATGGAAAAAAAGTCACGATACATTGCAACACATCACATGTAGATGGTGAAGATGGTTCAGCCCCTGTAGTTGTAAGTCTTCAATACAAGGGAGTGCCTTGGTGGGGAATTTACTGTGTGAAATAACCAGGTCCTCCACAATAAAGACATTAATCTTTTGTGCATGAACTTAACCTGTTTTTGGGAAATAATGAGGCCTTGTTTATTCCTCATAGGAATAAACAAGGAATAAACATAGCACTGATTCAGCTTTTAAAATCTCACAAATATGATGAGAAGCCAGAGACACAGAACAGTCACAACTTTCCTTCCTGACTATTCTATAGCATTGCATCACATCTTTAGCTGATGCCCAAACAAATTAAAAGCTGCCATGTTCTCTGCAGCGCATTGACAAGTGGGTTTGTCTTGTATTTCTTTTGACAGTCCCTCCCTGAATTGGTCAGTTAAGCATTCCAGCCCACATGCTGAACTAACAACTGAAACTCAGCAGCATATTCTTGCACTGAGTGCTTATTTTTTGCAAGTGATAGATTTCACAGTCAGCAGGCATTTGAATTGTCAGAGTTAAAACTTGAGCATGCTATTAAATCAGTATAGTTGTCTCAGTATAGTTGCAATCTTCAAAATCAGAAGGGAGGGCATTTTACTCTCTCACAGTTATTAGACTAATCATTATAGGAGGAGAGCTATGCTAATGTCACCAAAAATCAGCAAGATCTATTAGCACTTCCTTAGAATAACACATTTTATTAAAAAGCATAAGCCTTGATGAATTGTAGCTCACATAATTCATAGAGCAGTTCAACTGACATAGGATTTAAACTGGAATGAGGCAAGGTGGTGCAAGAGAGCTGGTTAAATAATCTATCTATG